TATCACGTATAATAATTAAATAAACTTCCTAAACGTCATGTTAGTGTAGTCTATATAATCTGTAAGTTTAATATACCCTTATCCCTTATAGTGATGGCACATAACGAGACACACATTAGGGATGTAATACTGTTTGAATGCAAGAAGAGAAACAATGCCTCTGTAGCCACAAAGAATATCAAAGAAGTTTATGGAAATGTTTTGAACATTTGTAAGTGTCAACGATGATTAAGCAAATTTCATTCAGGTGGCTTTAGCCTTAAAAACTGTGATGGCAGGGGCCAACATGTTGGAATTGATATTCATGCTCTAAAGACGCTTGTTGAGTCTAACCCAAGGCAACACACTCGTGAAATGGCCCTGAAATTGCATGTCTCTCATGAAACAATACGTAAACATCTAAGGAATATGGGAAAACTCCATAAAGAAGGTGTTTGGGTGCCTCACGGACTCTTTGATGGTCATTGTTTCCAACGTGTGAATGTTGCTTCGTCTCTTCTGGCGCGTGAACCATTTTTGGACAGAATTGTCACTGGTGATGAAACATGGATTCTCTATTCGAATATTAAACTCCAAAAACAATGGCTCAGTCATAGACAAAAACCATTTCCGACCCACAAACCTGGACACCATCCGAAGAAAGTGATGCTTTGAATTTGGTGGAACATCAAAGGAGTAATTCATCTCGAACTCCTCAATCCACAGCGTACTGTCAATGCGGAGATCTATAGTCAGCAACTGGAACGTTTAATTCAAGCCCTTCATCAGCAACGCCCTTCATTCGTCAATAGGAAAGGTGTTCTTCTTCTCTACGACCATGCACGTCTGACGCATCACAAGATTATGGAGTTGGGTTGGGAAGTTCTTCTCCACCCACCATATTCTCAAGATATGGCACCATCATATTACCATCTTTTTCGTTCGCTGCAACACCATCTTAATGGGAAAACATATGTAACTGTGGAAGGTATTAACAACCTTATTGTAAGATGGAAAAACATCATCGATAAGAATGGATAATGTTTCATTTATTAAATGTTTTGTTTTGATATATAAGTTGTTCGGGTTTATTCATCTAAAAAAAGCGACATTAATTTCTTGTTTGTTTGGAGTTAAGCACAAAGCTGCACGATGGGCTATCTGTGCTCTGCCTACCACAGGTATGAAACTCGGTTTCAAGCGTTATAAGTCCGCAGACATGCCGCTGTGCCACTGGGGACATATTCCTTAAAACAAACGAGTATAACTAAGATTAATAAGGTTGATTGAAGCATAAATTATTAAACACAAAGTTTAATTTTTGAAATTTACAGTTGTTGTGTGAGCGCCATATTTGAATTTTTACATATTTATTCCAACTTTATCGTATGGAGACTGTATGTCAGTTGTTCCACATCGAAATCTTACTTCAATTAAATCTGTCCCTTCTCTAAGAATACCCATAAGTAATGAAAAAACAACAACAGCGCCTACTATGCCATAAACTCTCTGTCTCTCTCTCACACACACAATATATATATATATATATATATATATATATATATAAAGATAGAGAATGTGTGTAGTAGTAGTTAAATAAGTCTTTTGAGCATAATAATGTGCTATTAAAGGCAACAGTATATAACACAAGGGGTTAAGTACGTTATGTCAAAACTATTTTGGAGCTTTACCACGTCGTTATAATCATTGTCACCCTGTCCGGTCATGCTTTGTCTGTGGATCGTATAAGCTGACAGTAGACTTGAAGCATAATTTCCATTGGAAAAGGCTCTGCCACTCTCCTTCCAGCGCCCTTTTCAACAGCCGAGTCGCAGAGAAATCCATTAGTGTGGCGTTCGGCGATTTAACCAGTATGTCTTCTTGTGGAATAGCAAGAACGCCCATTTCATTCTCCAGTTGCTTGAGGTGCGCGAGAGCTATGACTCGAATCCTTATCTTATTGATTCTATACTCTGTTGGTCTCGTTTCCTGGCGGAGATCCTTCTTTATTATGCTGCATACTGTTTTTTTTTTTCCTGTTACAAGATGCTGCACTTTGCTTACATATCTGGGGTACGACTTCTTGCAGCTCTCTCTTTTTGGATGATACTGGTATCCCAAATTGATCCATATTCCTTTTTTTTTTCAATGATACTGTGTAGTGCAAGGGACATCAACATGTATGCATGATACATACCGATCCACAAGCGATTTCATATCGGCTATAGTTGTTACGTAACTTGCTGATTTCTGCATCCTGTATTTTCTTATACAAAGTACATATCACGTAGCTAATAAAAGAATATTTTTTCTTGCCAGTTCAGCTATGTGACGATAGTATAAGGCCTTTCTAGATACCGAATTGGCAAAATCTAGTCAAATGAACGATAAGAAATAAAGGCTTTCATGAAATGTACTGCAGCTATGAGCTCAAGCAAAAAAAGCAACTGTTTAGAATCTCTCACTGATGACGTAAGATTAATGTTTAAAATTAAATTGTATTAATTATTTTTATACTTTGCAAAAGTGATACAAAATACACTATATTTAAAGCTTCAAATTAAGCATTTAATTTGAGAATTAATTTCAAAACAATATTTTGGAGAAGGGTTCAAATGGACTGTGTGATGTCGTTATTATGCTTCTTAGGACCTCGTACTCACAAAGACACTGGACCGAACTAATACATATTTTTAGAAATTTTGTACTTTAAAACTATACGCACGAGATTAGTGAATTGTATGTAACAAATTAGACGATCTAAAACTAATCCATCGCGTTTCTAGAAAACCTTAAAAAGCATTTGTAAAGGAAGCATCTACTTCGGCACTATCACTTACGAAAACATTAACGCTTCCACAAACGCACAGAAAACAAACTTTTCGCAACATATTTCTCCAATAGATTCACTACCCTAACGATAGCACATTTGGTTAAAATTACTACAATAAAATCATCCGCGACAACCATAATATATTTTCTACGTGCTTCCCTGCCACCATTCTGAATAACATCACCCACATTATTCCGAAATATATAGCTACACCCATCACCAACGCGGAAAACAAACTTCATTTTAAAAAACTAAAAAATAGCGCATCTGAAGAGGATAAAATCCCCAATATAGTACTTAAACGTGCCTCCCACAAACTTCTAGAACACTAAAAAACATATACAACTTATCATTTTTTTTCAGGTTATCTCGCTCAAACATGCAAGTCCGCAATAATCACACTAATCCCTAGAAAAGGTCAAAAAGTCTAAAAACCCGAGCGACTTCCGTCCAATCAGTCTCATCAACTTCATTCCAAAAAGTATTAGAAAAATAATAATAACGACTAGATTGCTGTGGACACTAGAATCCAACAATACTCTCTATCACAAATTCAAACGCAGGCAGGTAAAACAGATAAACCTCAGATCACCTTGTCAGATTAATTGAAACAACTTTTAATGGTTTCATTAAATATCAAGCTACACTTGCCACTTCCCTAGACGTCCAAAAAGCTTTCGACACATTTTGGCATAAAGGACTTAAATAGAAACTTGTGAAATATAAAATCCGCATCACTTTCATTAAATGGATCTCTAACTTTCTTGGGTACAGAACAGCTAAAGTTAAAATCAAAAACAATTTCTTTCCACCAATCACATTCAATGCAGGAGTCCCGCTAGGTTTAGTCCTCAGCCCCCTCTTATACACGCTCTTTGTGAACGACCTTCTCCAACCTGTCACACCACTCATGCACGCTTCCCATAAGCCATTTGGAGCACTTCCAGAGACTAAACCCTAGCCGCTTCCAAACTGCAAAAAACAATCAATAAAATCACAACATGGTGCAAAAAATGGAGAATTAAATTGAACCCCAATAAAACTTAAGCCATAATATTCCACAGAAGCCTCGATAAAAAATACAAAAACTTAAACTTTACAACTCCACTATAATACTGTTCGCACCTATCAAATTCCTAGGCATGACACTGAACCACAATCTCACATGGCATTCACACATAAGAGAAATATACAAAATGCTTTGGGCAAGAATAGCACACCTCAAAACATTTGTCTGTAAAAATTACGGCTGTTAAACACAAACCATACTCCATAAAGCTTTCATTTGACCTTTAATTGAATATGGCTCTATGATCATCTGTAATATGAAATTACAAAAACGTCAAAAACAAGTAGCTCATCTCCCACAATATATATGTCCTCGCACTACCCCACATCAAGACTATTTGTTTGTTTGTTTTGAATTTTGCGCAAAGCTACACGAGCGTTATCTGCACTAGCCGTCCCCAATTTAGCAGTGAAAGACTAGAGGGAAGGCAGCTAGTCATCACCACCCACTGCCAACTGTTTCACCCACGGCTAAAAGGGCAAGCCTGTTTGATGGGACGGGGATTCAAACCCATGATCGCCAGATTGCGAGTCAAGCGCCCTAACTACCTGGCCATCACGCACGACCAGACAACTCAAGTTAGCAGAAACCTAATATACATAAATATGTTATAGTAAAGCTATAAACCGTAATTCTGTAACTACACATTTCCCTACTATAGCAGCTACCCCCCCCCCTTACCTGGAGAAAATATACTTCACCATACAACTTGATACATGATGACATCCCACAAGCTAATAATAATTAAATTATTGAAAGTCTAACCATATTGGGTATTTTCAGCTTTTTTTTTCCAGGTATCTTCATCGCATCACAGTATCAGTCTGCACATTATCTGTGAAAATGGGTTTTCTCGGGGTACTTCCATTTCCCTCCTACATCAAATTCTAGGCATTGGATTTGTAGATCCCAGCCATGGCATTTGGAACCATAGATCACTGCCAGGCCCATTTGTTTTTATCACACTTTTTCTTCTTGTCTTCTCATCCACTTAGCCTCGCCGGAAACTTTGCCTATTTCACCTCACACCACACCTTTCATCTAAATCTTACATTCATGATGCACAAAAATTACCCATTCTCGATAGATAATATGCTTAATCTCTAAATAAGCAATTATTTCCTCTTGCGGGGCAAAGGAAGATAAGTCTATCTTCGAGCACACCAGATGTTCACTTCACAGCAACCAACATTTTAATGCCGATTGGTCTCCATCTAACTTCCTATCAGGTATTTTGGATTTCGTGAATGGTATCAACAAAAACCAGGATTTCATTCAAAATATATTTGCTTACAAAGATATGTGCAGAAAAAACTCATGCTTGACCTGTAATCGGTGTGTGATGAGCAAGGCTCATCATGCTAGCTAGCTCCCCATTAATTGAATTTGTACCTACGTCAACTCGAAATTAACTCGCTCATCACGAACCCTCGACAAGATATCAAGGAAGTTCCAGACCAGAAAGAAGACTTTATATTGTTTGCAAAACTTTTGTATATAAATCATTGTTTGTAA